ACACAATATATATATGTATAACGTTGAAAACTATGTTTAATTGACACAATATATATATATAGGTATAATGTTGAAAACTATGTTTAATTGACACAATATATATATAGGTATAATGTTAGAAAACTATGTTTAATTGACACCATTATATATATATATTTTGTGTCAATTAAACATCGCTTTCAACCAATTAAACATCGCTTTCAACACTATATATATTTTTAATTGTGTACCAGCTTAACGTTGAAAATTATTTATGATATTAATGATTACAATGTTCCATCTTTATCTCCCTCATCCATCATATTTATAATTTTTAATAGATTTATTAGGCTTGATAATTATTATGACGTCCCATCCTAATATAGTATAGACTTGATGATAATTATGATATTCCATCTTTATTTAGGCTTGATAATTATTATGACGTCCCATCCTAATATAATATAGACTTGATGATAATTATGATATTCCATCTTTATTTAGGCTTGATAATTATTATGACGTCCCATCCTAATATAGTATATAGACTTGATGATAATTATGATATTCCATCTTTATTCAACGAATTTATAATTCTTGATCAATCCATGCAATAGACTTGAATATGATTACAACATTACATATTTTTTTTTCTTTCAGCCTAAATTAATATACAATTCGAACACAATGCAGTAGATAGTTGACAATGATTACGACGTTCTATCTTTATCTTATGGAATCTTCAATTCCACAGTTCGTGATTTTAACGTGTGAGAAAAGTTTTTAAAATAATTTGTATGCACAAACCACTAACGTAATTTGAAATGAACGTTACGTTACGGGAGAATCCAAAGATAATTTCTTTCTGATTTTCGTTACAGATTTTCCATTACTGACATAAAAAGACAAGTGAAAGGATTATTGTTCTCCGCTTTTTCTAACTTCTCCGCAGTAGCTCAGCGATAAGTCTGAGGGTTTAAAATTCGGGTTTAGGTACTCGCTGTGTCCAGAGTACGGATAGCTTGTTGTGTAGCTCTGTGCTTAACAACAAACTTTGTGTAATTATATTTTAGTACAATGTGAAACGTTAATTAATTTCTAAATAATGGGATGACTTTCGATGTTTTCAAAAACGTCTGGTACACAATTAAAAACATTTTATTTAGGCCTATCTATGGCCTTCAAAAAGTTGACGACTCTGTTTCCTGAGGATGACGTTGTAACGTCGAAACACGTAGAGTCGTGAACTTTTTGAAGGCCATAGATAGGCCTAGATAAAATGTTTAACGTTGAATATTATTTATGATTTTAACTTTATACACAAGTGCCAAAATATTATAACCACAACGTCTTGTTTTGATTTTCCATGTTGATCAACTTGTTTAACTTCGGCGTCATGGATTTTGCTTGATTGATGGGATATACCCAATATTTCTTGGATGCTATTACCACAAGTTTTATCTGTTACGACTAACCAGGAACGGAAATAAGTGCATTAAATGATTATAATATCTTTATTGTTTAATAGTGCTGATCTAAATCGTCTATTAACAATAATTATGGAGCCATTTATACATATATAACGTAGCATAAACCCTAACAGAATTATAACGTCATTTTTTTCTGTTTAATTCGTAGCTATCCCAGCGTTATCGAAAGATGTTCGGTGTAGATCTGAATATACACATATATATTAGTAAATACTTTGTATTAAAGAAACTTTTGCTTTAAAACCTGATTTATTTTTACCTACAATAAAATTTTTAGGCTTAAAGTTGATGAACTAAGTTACTGGTTTCTGAAATTCGAAGATTCATTGTTCGCGACCTCTTGTCGCAAAATCCCGCTGCGCACTTTTGGACCATTGGTATGCTGTAAGTGTGACGGTAAATATAACAGTTGATTGAATTGGCGGTGAGGGTTGGTTCTGTTGTCCAGCTGCCTTCCCTCTATAGTTTACACGTTCACTTAAGGCTGTGTAAAGATAGGCTGTTTGTAGCTTTGCGCGAAAAATCTGAAACAAACAGATTAATGGCTTTGGTGATGAGTGTCTTAAGTGTGATTAAAACTTAATTCCGATTGTTGTTAAAAGGTGCAAAGAGTACAAATCAGAATATGGGAGGGCCTGACAAGATCCAGTGGTTAGGACGCTCAACTTGCAACCTATGGGTCGCGAGTTAGAATCCCGTCATCAAACTATGAAACTGGGGTTCCGTGTTCCCATCTCTCTACTGCAATATATATAGCGCTTTGCACTGGGACCGTGAATGCCGGTAAAATCACACTATTTGGTCTGACAAATGTTGGCGGTGGGTGGTTTATCACCTCAGAATTATGGATAGCTAGCTTATCTTTTAATCATGTTATTTTCAGGGCACAATTTTCAGCGGAGTCCAGACTAGGTAGTTCATCAGAAGAATGCCCACACTTCTTTTCAAATACTTCGAAGAATAAATGCATGATAGCTGTGGCGTAAATGTTATTTTAGTGTGTGTAAGAACGGATAGATGTCACCCTAAGTTGCATCATGCAGATACAGATTAAAATAGTGCTGTGACGCTTCGCACGACTGTGTGTATTTTCATAACATGTTGAAGTGTTTATTGGATGATGTTGTTGGCCAATTATTTTTTATGACGTCATTTTTATACTTAAAATGGCGATATCATGTTTAATTTAATGATATTAAATTAAAGTCTTTATTAAAATTAAGAACTTTGGAAAAGAAGTCTTCTAGCTACTTGAGTAATGAAGCTAATATAATAACAGGTAGATAAACAACGATTTATAAGCATAAGGAAAATTTCTGTTGATGGTGGAACATACACGTTTCGTCAGAACAACATTGGTCTGTTTTCTTCAGTATTGAGTAGACCAGGTGGTTAGGGCGCTCGACTCGCAATCTGAGGGTCGCTGGTTCGAATCCCCATGACACCAAACATGCTCGCCCTTTCAGCCGTGGGGGCGTTATAATGTCATGGTCAATCCCACTATTCGTTGGTAAAAGAGTTGGCGGTGGGTGGTGATGACTAGCTACCTTCCCTCTAGTCTTACACTGCTAAATTAGGGACGGCTACCGTGTAGCTTTGCGCGAAATTCAAAACAAACAAACAGTATTGAGTAATCCAAGGTTTATATGTCGTTATGTGACAGAAATGGTGTCAGCAGGTGACAGGATATAGGTAGAGGTCAAGTGTATGAACGGTGAATAGATACGGCCAATTTTGCTGATAAGGAATTAGTTTTGGTGATTTTTACAGTTTCTAAAACTGTCTTTTTTCTGTTTTAGCTTTGCGTTCGTGTAGGATAGTATTTTGTGATCTGTTTTGTATTGATGATATGTTAAGGCGGATAAGTGGAAATCACCTCGATGCATGTGATCTTGGCGTTCTTTGCGACTTGTTTCTTAAAAACGTGACGTTTGTCCTGTGTATTTCTTTCCACATTCACATGGGATACTCTATATTCCCCGTTTTTGTTCTCTTAATAGGGATTCACTCGGGTTGGGTAGTAAGATGTTAATTTGTGTGAGGGTTTGAATACATTTTACATCAATGCTCAAATTATTAAAACGTCTAGTAATTTCGCCACACATAAGATCTAATCACTACCTATCGTAAAAAAAATATCGTCCTATTTCACCTACGTAAATCGTGCTATATAACTTTGCACCCGCAAATAAGACTTACTTATTGAATTGAACTACGTTAAGAACATAGCACTATCTAGAGGTTTTAAGCCCATTATCATATACAGGGCTTGTATCAAAGTTAAAAATATTGTTAACTCTAACCTTTCACCTATCAACAACACAAAACACAACAAATTTGTTTCATTCCCTTTTGTGCCTGAAATCGGGTGTTATTTAGTAATCTATACACCATTATCACTTCTAAGTGACAGGTCTTGATGGCTAGGCCTCACAAGGGTATTGTTACGT